TTGTTTGTTCATCTAGGTTTAAGTTATGCTTTTGGGGCCCAGTTAAAATGTTATACTACAGAGGAAACCACTATCCCCTTCTGCTACCCCGTAGCGTTTGTCTGTAATTCCATTACAGCTTGCCATTTCCTTTTCTATTACAATCATTTATTTTCATGTCAAATCCATTAGGCTGTTTGCTTATCAAAAGGTAGGGACTATACATGTGTTTCCACTGACTCTCTCTTTCCCAGAATTTGCCCCGGTACTCCATTCTGTTTGTCCACCGAGGGACAATGATCATTTGTCTTCCTATTTTGACTCAAATATTTCTGTACGATTATGTGACGATTGATAATTCTATGCTTAACTATTTTTATTCATATCAACTTATATACTGTGTATTAATGATGATTAGATTAAGTAGCAATTAAAGAACCTAAAACTAAGAATGTAAAGGTCCTTTTGCTGTAATAGCATACAAAATTTAAAATTTGATTTCTGATTTGCTCAGCTGACTTACTCTGAACTTATAAACAATGCACTACTGGTAAGAATAAATTTAGTAATATTGTTATTTTAAGGGAACTTTATAAACATGATATGATAGGTAGTCTTTATATGTCTGCTAAATCATCCTATTCTTTAAGAGATTATTTTAAACACAAAGATCCTACATTATTTTTAGATAACTCTTTTGACTCTAAAACATTATATGGGTGAAATATTACTTAAGAAAAAAGGGTCCCTCAAGTGTACTTAATATGGGTAAGAGATCAATATACGTATTTTTAGATATCATTGCTTTAATATCTTTCTAGGGAGATTATCTTTTCTCAGAAATAATTTTAAGTATAACACTATAAATTATAATTTTTGTCTCTAAAAGTCATTTTCCAAAATCCTGTTACTTGCAACAGCTACATAATGAAGGTGACATCAAGTGCCTTATGGAGTATTTGTATTACAGAGCCGTCTACTCAAGTCGAACATGCCCACCAAAATGTCACAAATAACAGTGCTGGTTTTTCTCGCTGTGTGCTGAGATTTCCCAGTCCTCACTGAAATCAACACTGTCATTTCAGCCTGTCACCACACACTCCACCCCAGCCCCACTCTGTATGTCTCATCTCATGTTCTAATTGGCTTCTTCATCTTTCTCCATCATTTAAAAAACATTTTAACATATAAAACTCAATAATTTTCATTTACTTATGTATGAAATTAGTAGGATTAATATCTTCATCATGAGCAGCAGTATCCAAAGCCATCTTAATTCTGAATCAGGGAGGAGAGATCTCTCAGATCCCACCATTATTTTTATTTAAAGTATTCTCTTATTCTGCCACCCCAAGTTCAATGATTGTAATTCTATCGTCCTCTTCCAAGTGTGCACAGGCAAATATGACATACAGAGATCAGCTAGAGAACAAAAAATCTTTGAGAAACATAAATCCGTAAACCTAAAAGGAATGTTTCTGTACTGCAAAGTAACATTTCAAAGAATAAGTCAACTAAAATGCTTTAGAAAAATATTCAACCGTTCAAAGGAGGTCGTTTTAACCACTGTAAATTAGATCAGACTGAAAAAGAAAAGCACTGAATGTGACTCATAAAAAAGTTATGGGCAAGTGTATTACTTGACTAAAGCTTATTGATCTATAACACTGATCTACAAATTCACTCAGTTCAGCAATACAGGGGCATTTTAAAGCCCCTTTTACTGGTGCAACATAATTCTGAAATTTTGATTTGTTTTTATGTTAAGGTTTCAATGCAACTATAAGCATTTAAGAATCAGAACCTATGTTGGATCTTCAGGGTCAATGCCCTCTTTAAAAAAATTACAAATCAACTCAACAGTAATTTTTCACTGAGCTAAAAATGACAAACCAAAGCATTTCAACTGTCAACTCTACGTGTGATGTGTGTACATTTCAAAGTAAAAAATCTAGGCCTGAAGTCTTTACAAAAGTAGAACTAGAGAATCAAGTCATATTTATTTACAATAAGAACATTTTACTATTATGTCTTCTTCATACTTGTTTTCCCATGTCATTTCTTGATTTTGTTCTTTTTTCCCAGTTGTAGTCTCTTACTTCCTGTGTATCCCGGACTCTGTGCTTGGTCACTTTACCTAACTCTCAGCCTGTCCTTTGCTTCCCAGCCCACTTCTATCCTTCAACCCGGGGTGGGAGGGCATAGCTCAGTGGCAGAGCGCATGGTTAGCATGCACGAGGTCCTGGGTTCAATCCCCAGTACCTGCATTAAATTAATAAATAAATAAACCTTACCCCTTAACCTCCCCACAAAAAAATTTTAAAAAAATTTTTAAATTCTTTAATCCACCTTCCCCTACAAACCGAGGCATTGGTGCAGATTAATACCAGTTGTACAGATTTGTTCAACAAAGATGCAGGTAGATAATTTCATCTCTGTCCCTTGACGTATTTATCAATCACTGACTTATCTTCGGTCAGATTCTTCTTCCATTTGCCTATTGAAATTTTTGCCACTTTCTTCAGTTTTGTGCCAGTGGCCCACACAATTCTCAGCAGCTGACCTGAACTGAAACTTGACAGCAAAATGAGACGACCATATAGAAATGGCAGCCTCCTGCCCACTCTCACTGAGAGACGGTTACTGTGAGTCCACATGGCTGCCTCCTTCCTTGCCCTCTAGAGAAAGAGGCGTCCCTCACTCTACCCGTAGCATTCTCTGATGTTCTAATACCATCTCCTCCAGGAATGGGGGATACTGGCCCACCATTCACCCTGTCTGCTATGTTTCTCCTGCTCCATGAATTCTATTCCATCAGCCTTGAAGTCTCTCCTCATAAAAAAAAAAATCCCACGACCCTGCAGTCTTCTCTAGTTTCCATCCAACTGCTGTCAATCTCTGTGGAAAATTTCTGTCAAGACTAATTAATATAAACCCCGTCACTGCTTTGTAGTCCTTTTTATTCGACGTAGTGAGTTCTCACCTCCATCACTGAGTTAACATCTCTCACCCCTTTTCCTCCCTCTTCTCCACACCTTCTCTGCCCACAGATAACAACCTTCCCCTCAGCTCCACGCTCCCTGCCCCTCACCTTCCGCCCTTTGAGCTCATTAACAAATATCCAACTGCCTACAACATCTCCACCTGAGTGTCCCTAAGATGTCTCAAGTCAGCTCATCATTTCTTATATTCTTTTTCTAACCTTAATAGAGACTTTTATCTCTATTAAGCTCAGGAAGTTGACACCAAAATTTACCAAATCACTGACTGGAGGGCCATGCTAGAATATTCTGTTTCCCTTCCCACTGCTTCAGATTCAAGCCATCAGAAATTCTCTCGATTCGTCCCCGAAATTTCTTTCTTCATCTTACACCTTCAAGACTATCATTTAGTTCACGCTCTCACCATCTCTGGGATTTCTGTAAACAGCTCCCAACTGATTTCTCTGCTCTGGTCTCAGTTTCTCAATGCCATGCTCCCTCTCTCTCTGTTAGGATTAAGTTACTGAAATCAAATCAGATCACAAGTTCTAGTTTCATGCTTAAAAACTCTTCAGTGGGTCTTGAGTTACTTACTTCACAAGACCTTTTGTGATTTGTTCCTAACTCTGTAATCTCACTTCCTCTGTCCATAATTTAAAAAACAAAACAATAACACGATTCTAAGTTTGTTTGCACACATACCTTTATAGTTTAAGATAATTTTATTTGTGCATTTTGTTCTGCTGCCTAGAACAGCTTTCCCTGGATGCCCAGACAAGGTGAATTCTTCTTTAACCCTGAAATGCATTCTGCTGTCCCTTTTCTGATGGAGCCTTTTTGATACCACTCCAGAGTGATCTCCAGGTAGAGTTCATACTTCCTCCTCCGAGCTACCCTGTGCTCTCCACCTAGTCCTCTTACCCTACCATATTCTATAGTTCACCTGCTAAAAAACTCCCAATTTATCTTTTTCATAATGGTACCCCTGAATGACTTATCAAGCAAT